TTTTTTTTTTTTTTTTTGGTGCCTGTGGCATTATTTTAAGTTTTGGGCTATCCTAGACGAGTCCTAGTTTCGTAGCTTCAGGCCTTTGGCCTCCTTCTTTGTACCGAAAAAGATTTTTTTCCTTTACTGGTGGTGTATGTTATATTGTTAAGAATCTGAACTGTCTTTGTTTCATGGTTTTAATTTGGGCAACTTTAGATTTTACAAAAAATTAATGCTTTGGTCTCCATATTTCTTTCTTCGTTTAGGATATTCCTTTCATTGTATATTTTTTTAAAAATAGTTCAAGCTTGCAAATTTTCACATTGTTTTGGTACATATGTATGATGTAAAACAATTAGAGCTCTTCTATGTTTATATATATATTTTCTGTCTTTTTTTTTTTTAAATGCTGAATAAATTGATGCTACTATATTGTTAGAGCCCTGATACTCGGCCATGGAGAAAGAGGAAGAGAAAACAAAAACTCGTTCCCCTGACACTGTTCTTGAGGATTTCTTGAGATCATCAGATTCTCAGACAGATTCTCCGAAAGCAAGTACTTCAGAATCACCTGTACATATTGATCACAAACCGCCTTCCAAAAAATTGGCCGATTTTCTTCAGTTTTTCATGCTGAAGCCCAAGACACGGCTAAAATCCACATTGGATCCCCTCAATGCCTTTAAGTTATCCAAAAAATTCAGCAGTAGTGTGAGGGAGGAAGTTAGCCGCCCCTTAATCGATCCAAATTTGAACTATTTTAAGCCTCATTGGAAGAACTTTAGCTTCTCTGAGCTCCAGGCTGCTACCAGCAACTTCTGTCAAGGTTTGCTCTGTGCAAAACTCGGTTTTTTTTTTTTTTTTTTTTTTTGGTCCTCAACTTATTGGCAAATACTTCATCTATTGTTTAATGTGATAGTAATATATCAAGTACTCTTTGTGACTAAATATCTTCTTTGCATCTGTTTCTTTTTTTTTTTTCATATTGCACTTGTTAAGGTTCGGCTGGGGTGGGTGAGTTTTATAACCATCACACATCACAAAGGTGTTTGTATTTTTTAAACAATAACTATGGACGTGCCTTTTTATGAAAAAACTAGAAAAAAATATAATTTTTTTTTTTTTGTGTGTGTGTGTGTGTTAAGTGGAGTTTATTTGGAAAAAGTTAGTATGGTTGGTAGTTAGTGGGATTTTAAGAATGTCCTAAATTAATATGATTAAAATTGATTTGATGAAAAAACAGGCGATAGATGATTGAAATTGAAACTGATAGTTAAAATTATATGAGTGAATGAATAGTGAATGAAAGTTGATGTGTAAGAATAATTGAATGATATTATTTAATTATATTGATAATATTGAGGATAGTGGGGTTGATATAACTGAATTAGATTTTGAATTGAGATAGATTTTTGTCTAGTTTTTTTGTATTTTCTTATAAACAAGCGAAGTTTGGACTTTTTCTTAGGTTATTTTGACTAACCTTCGGGGAGAAAGGATCTCGTTTATTTGCCTAGTAGCTCCATGTGAATTCTCTATTGTTTTGTCTTTATAGATATGCTAAGAAATTACCCTGTACCCCTTAAGTTTCGTGTAATTATGAGTGAAAAGAAAAGGAAATCCAATTACTAACCTCACTGAATCATGGTTTTTCAATTTAGGAATAGTTTTCGACTTTTTTCAGTTATCCATATGAGCTTTACTAAAAAAACATCTGTTTTATCTGGATTTTTTCTTAATTTTTAATGTTGCTATGACTAGGTTATTTGATTGGAAAGGGCGGCTATGCCGAGGTCTATAGGGGTCGTTTGCGTGGCGGGCAGCTCGTTGCCATAAAGCGTTTGATAAAGGGACATACAGAAGATCGAATAGGGGATTTTCTTACCGAGCTCGGGATAATGGCGCATGTGAATCATCCGAACACTGCAAAAATGATCGGTTATGGGGTTGAAGGTGGAATGTACCTCGTGCTCGAGTTTTCTCCCATCGGAAGCTTGGCGTCCATGCTTCACAGTCAGTGTGCATTGTAGTAAAATTTTTTGATTTTTAAATTCTTGTTCTTTAAATTCTTGATTTTGATGTTTTTCGTAATTTGAATTTCCATCCTTTTTTTGTAATAAAATAGGTTCAAGAGAGAAGGTGGAGTGGAACATTCGGTACAAGGTTGCGGTGGGGACAGCTAAGGGGTTGTTGTATTTGCACGAGGGTTGTCAAAGGAGGATTATCCATCGAGATATTAAAGCTGCAAATATCTTGCTAACCGAGGAATTTGAGCCTCAGGTAATTTCACCAATGAGAACTTTAAAAGGTTTTTGTTTCTTTTCTTTGCTTAAAAGGGTTTGTGTTATATTTTACTTACTTCCAAGGAGTAGAGTTAATCATAGGTTAGTTTAAAAAGAAAGTTTATCTTTGGGTAGCCTACGAAATTTTATGTCTAGAAAACTTTGTTAAGGGATGTTTAGATTACTTTTAAAGGGTTATTTGTAATATCTTCTCTTTTCTTTGCTTATAAGGGCTTATGTTCCATTTTACCAACTTCCAAGGGGTAGAGTTAATCATAGTTTAGTTTAAAAAGAAAGTTACCTTTGGGTAGCCTACTCTGGAAAAGCACCTTTCAAAATTTTATGTCTAGAAAACTTTGTTAACGGATGTAGATGACACTTTTAAGGGGTTATTTGTGATTCCGAAAGAGTTTTTGTACTTCGGAGTTTTTGTACTTAGGCTAGACTATGTTACCAAATAATTTAGCTTATAGCTTATTTGGTTAGCTTATAAGCTTCTTATATTCAACTAAGCTTCGTTTTGGTATGACGAGCTTTTTAAAAACTCAAGCTCGTCTCATAAGTTTTTTTCGGGTAGCTTTTCAAATAAGCTCGTTGAAATTTTTATTTCATCTAGTTTATTAGCTAATTTTAACAAATACTTTATCATATAAGCTAGTTTTTCAACTATAGGTCATAAGCTATAAGCTCGAAAATCAGTTCCAACTAACTTATCAACTAGTTTTACAAAACATAGCCGTAGGCCTTAGGTTAGTTTTCAATGTTGTTTGTTGTAATTGTCATTTAAGTATGTTGATACTTGAACTTTTTAAATTCGTGAGTGAAAATTTGATAAATCTATGAGTAGCTTGTATTATTACATACTTATTGTGAATTGTTCGTTGGAGTTCAGATTTGTGACTTTGGACTTGCGAAATGGCTGCCCGACCGGTGGACCCACCTCACGGTTTCGAAATTCGAAGGCACTTTTGGGTGTGTATGTAACTATGTATAATATTATTATTTGTACTCTAGAACTTTCTAATCGATTGGTTCGAATCCTGATTCCTGCAGTTACTTAGCACCAGAGTTCTTGATGCACGGTATTGTAGATGAGAAAACCGATGTTTTTGCATTTGGGGTGCTGCTGTTGGAGCTTATCACGGGCCGACGAGCGCTGGATCAGCAAAGCCTTGTTATGTGGGTATGCTCTTTTCTCTAACCCCCCTGAGGTCACAACTCACAAATTTTAACTGTGTTTTGGATAATTAGAAAAACTACCCCTTAACGAGTCTAGTTGTGAACTGAACAAGCTAAAGCTCGAGCCTTAACGAGCAGAGCTCACGATTTATAGCTCTTAACAACATTTGAACTAGTTTTCTGCTTGTGCTAGGCTAAACCACTGCTGAGGAAGAACAAAATCGGGGAGCTTGTGGACCCTTCACTTGCCAACAACTATAATCCCACACAAATGAGTCTCATGCTTTTGGCGGCTTCTTTATGCGTCCAACAGGCTTCAATAAAACGGCCACGGATAAGCCAGGTCAAAATTTAATATTTCACTGATGTTACATAAACATAAGATAGGGAAAAAAAAATTCAGGTAAAATATTGGCCGTAACATGTACTATACTTTTTTTTTTTTTTTTGGGTTTTGCAACGTATTGTTATTTTTCGGTAAAATGCAACCTAAACTTCATAAAGTTCAGGTTGCAAAAATATTTTATCCTTCCAAAAATTACCCGTGGTCCTTTTAATTTAGTTACACATATATGGTCATTATATATCGAACATTTTTTTTTTTGGCTAAAACTTACACTTCCCACTGATCATAGGTTTTGCTACTTCTAAGAGGCAGCTGTGGCAGCCTAGAAATGATAAAAAATAGCAAGAAGCTATCGAGCTGGAAAAGGTATTATAAGGAGCTGTTTAGCGCCGAGAAGTATAATACCACTTTAAATCTCCGGGCACAGATGGCCATGGAAGCTTAATCGGTGCATTTCATGATTCTTGGCTTTGGTTCATATTATCATAGGAAAAAAAATAAAAAAATAAAAATGAAAAAAACAAGTTACTTTAGGTTTTTCACTGTTGATGAAGAATGTGACAGACTATAGTAAGTTGAGGTCCATGAATGTAATGAAAAATCATAAATGCATCTATTAAAATAAAAAAAAAAATAAAAAAGGGAACTGAAAGAAGAAGATAAATGTCATCTCCATCTTGTGAAGTCATGATAAAGAATTAATGTTCTATAACCGGGCCGGGCCGGGCCGGCAGGGCCCTTTGACGATTGGGTTGTGGGGACATTGAATCTTTGATTAGAGGTCCCTTTCATCACATGTTCAAGAGATGCTATTGCTTATGTGCTTTTTTTGGGGTGTTACTTTTTTTGTGCCAATTCCAAAAATTATGTCTGGAAAATACACACACGAACACCTCTCGCATTCAAGCACCAAATCAAGACTATTTGCCTGCCCTTTCAATAAATGCTTTGATAGGACTTTACAAAGCAATTTTTTATAGGTGACGAAATTCTCGATGTGGGTTGAAAAGAACCTCCATATAAGGTACTCAGGACTGCAAACGAGTTGAGCCGAGCAAAGTATAGACTTTGTCGATTGAACTTTTTTCTTCATTGTTTGCGTTAAATGCTGCCCGACTCCACTGTGAAAGAAAATAAGAATACTTGAGCTTGACTAAATGCTCGACATGGCTCGAATTTGGCTCGAAATTTTGACAACTAAATTTTACATATAAAGGTGTTATTTATTAATTTAAATAGACAATATTGATAATTAAACTATATGGGACATTTATGTATATAAAAAGTCGAGCGGCATGTCGACCTTATGAGCCTCTTGAAATGATGATTGAGGTTCGATTCGTTTGCTTGATTGAACTGCTTGAGCTCGAGTCGAGTATAGTCTTGAGCGCTCACGAGCCGCTTGACTCGTTTGCTGCCCTACTTTCGATGCTAAGAATGTTCAAATTATATGTGCTCTAATTGGTGCTTGATTGAGTTTTTCACCACATTATATGATACTTGTGAAGATAAAAATGTTCCAAAATTTTATGAGCTCTAATCGGTGCTTCGTTGAACCTCATGCTTGAGCGCCCGAAACGTCAGTTCGTACGCACATGCACACACCTGGGTGGGCCACGTCTCTTAAACATACATTTTTTTTTTTGTGTATTCGTTTGAAATTTTCAATAGATTGTATTTTATTTTGACTTTTAAAATTTTTAACAGCCTTGAACATTAATTTGAGATTTAAGACTTTTTAAGATTTGTTGTGATTTCAAAAGAAAAAAACTATATATGAAATCACACTCCAATCTCACCTACACACTTCAGATTTTACATTCGTTTTAAATCTCAAAACGTCTCAAAATGTTCCTCGGAATCCCAAAGGAATACACCTCTTTAGTTTACCTTTTAGATATTAGTTGTTTTATTTATTTATTTTGGCATGATAAGAATGCTTTTCCTTGGCTACGTGACAAATTTGTAGAGTGTTGAATGCATATTATGGTAATTAGGTACTTTTACTTGTGTTGTGAACAAAAGTTAATACATTATTCGTGCACGAAACTACTGTTAATAAGTTAGTTATATTTCTAAAAAAAATAAAAAGAGTTATATGTTTTATTTTTAAATTGGATAAAAGATTTTTATTTTCAAAATCGTGTTTCAATTTATGTTTATTTTATGGGAACACGATTTTAGAATAAGAGATATTTTTATTCCCCTAGCTATGAATGTTAAAATTACTAGGCTTGTTAATTTGAATCTCAATGAATAATCATAAAAATATCATACAA